AATCTATTTTCCAGACTACATTTATTGACCAAAAAAAACTTGGCATCAACATTTTTTTTAGTCATTTAGACCATTATCTTCTTAGTCCTTTATAAAAGTAACACGAATGTGCGTCAATTTTTGGCTCTAAAGTCAGAAGAAATAAAGATTTGCAATAGCAGTATCTATTTGTGATAAATAACATTTTTGCAGCTTGATCAGTTCCCAAAAATTATTTTTAAAGTTGATTTAAGTAATAGGCAATGGTCTTTTTTTATTTTAAGTGTTGTGCCTAACAGACTAACATTTGGAGAGTCTCTAATTTTATTAATCATTTACATTTCAACTTATTCCTGAAACTGAATTTCATTATATATTATATTTTGTATCCTAATGCTAAAATTTAACATAAAGTGTTAGGAGCAAAGTTTTTACTAAGAATCAATTTTACATGAAGTGAAAATAACCTTGAGTAATTCAAGCAGTTCTTAAAAAGAGCAAAGTTGGTTGACTTAAACTCGCTGGTTTCGAGACTTACTATATAAAACTTCAGTAATCAAGGGCCGGCCCATGGCGCGCTTGGGAGAGTGTGGTGCTGATAACACCAAGACCACAGGTTCGGATCCCTATAAGGGATGGCCAGTTGGCTCACTTGGGAGAGTGTGGTGCTAACAACACTAAGTCAAGGGTTAAGATCCCCTTACCAGTCATTTAAAAAAAATAACTGCAGTAATCAAGACTATAGATTACTGTAAAGATAGAAATATAGATAAATGGAACAGACTAGAGTGACCAGAAGTTGACCCTCACATATATGGTCAATTAATTTTCAACAAAACCACCAAGGCAAATCAATGGGGGAAACGAAATCTTTTCAACAAATGATGCTGAAAAACTGGATATCCTTATGGGAAAAAATAACCATTGATCCTTAATTCACATCATACATAACAATTAGCTTGAAATATAAACCTAAATATAAAGGCTAAAACTATAAAAATAGAAATAAAATATAGTAGAAAACAGAAAGAAGAAAATATAAGAGAAAAATCTTTATGGCCTTGAGTTAAGCAAAGATTTCTTGGATAAGACACAAAAAGCACAAACCATTTTTACAAATGACAAATTAGACTTTTTTAAATTAAAAAGGTTTTCTCTTTGAAAGACACCATTAAGAAACAATAAGGCAAGTAACAGAATGGGAGATAATATTGGCAATACATGTTGACAAAAGATATATACTCAGTATATATAAAGAACTCTCATATCTCAATAATAAGACAACCCAATAAAAAATGAACAAAAGATTTGAACACATACTTCAGAAAAGAATGAATGGCTAATAATTGCATGAAAAAAATGCTTAATATCATTAGACATCAGGGAAATGCAAATTAAAACAGCAATGAGAATCCCACAATATACCAGTTACAATGGCTACAATTTAAAATCTAATAATGTCAAATGTTGCCAAAGATGTGGAGCGAGCAGTGCTCTTATATACTGCTGGTGGGAATGTAAAATGGTACGACCACTTTGGAAAACAGTTTGGCAGTTTCTTTTTTTTTTTTTTTTTTTTTTTTTTACCAGTAAGGGGATCGCAACCCTTGGCTCAGTGTCGTCCGCACCACGCTCAGCCAGTGAGCGCACTGGGCATCCCTATATAGGATCCGAACCCACGGCCTCGGCGCTATCAGCACCGCACTCTCCCTAGTGAGCCATGGGGCTGGCCCTGGCAGTTTCTTATAAAATTAAACATATGCCTATCACAGAGCCCAGCCATCTAATATTAGGGTAACATTAGGGTAGTATTCACTACTCAGGAGAAATGAAAACATATGTGCACACAAAGACTTGTACATGAATGTTATAGCAACTTTATTCTCAAAAGCCAAAAACTGGAAACAACCCAAATGTCCATCAACATGTGAACAGATTAGAAGAAGGAAAAAATTGCAGATATTTGTATAATAGAATTCTACCAGCAGTAGGAGCAAATTACAGGTGTACCCAACAACATGGATTTATCTCAAAAATATGCTGAGTGAAAGATGTCAGATATACCATTTATATGAAATTCTAGAAAATGCAGATCAATCAGTAGTGGCAGAAAGCAGTTCTATGATTGGAGTCAGGGTAGAGATTGACTGCAGAGGAACACAAGGAAATTCTTGGTGGCTATTGAAATGTTCTATATCTTGATTGTGATGGTAGTTACACAGGTTTAGATTTGTCAAAACTCGTCAAATTGTATGCTTTAATGAGTGAAGTTATTACAGATAAGTTATACTTAAATAAAGCTAATTGTTTAAAATGCAATTGGAAGTATTTAGTGGTCTCTTTAAACCTTATGATTTTATATGCTGCACTTTGTTAATATTATAGCAAAATATTTTTAGGAAAGAGAAATTAATATCTTCTCTCATTTACTCCCATCCCCCCTACCCCATCTCTGTTTTATTTTTTTTATTATTATTTTTTTTAAAGATGACCGGTAAGGGGATCTTAACCCTTGACCTGGTGTTGTCAGCACCACGCTCACCCAGTGAGCAACCGGCCATCCCTATATGGGATCCGAACCCGTGGCCTTGGTGTTATCAGCACCACACTCTCCCGAGTGAGCCACGGGCCTGCCCCCCCATCTCTGTTTTAAAAAAACAAAATTGTATATAAATTTGATAAGTATATAAAATAAGCGCATGCAGTTTTAACTATTAATCCTGTAACGTTATCAGAGGTTCAAAGGCTAAGGAGCCATCTAGTGCAATGAGAGGCAAACAGAATTTGAATTACAAAGACTTGGTTTCACATCTCAACTCTGGCTCTTACAGTATGTCTTAAAAACGGGGGTATTTTTTATTACCAAAAATTATGACTTTTCAGGATTAAATATAATAACAGATGCAAAGTCACTTTTCAAATACAGCAAATCTTTGTACCTACCCCATTGTACAGTCAGCTCATAACTGCTTGCAAATAAAAGCTTTAAATAAGAGTTAGTTCCATTTTGCCCATGACTCTGGGAAGGCAAAAACTATGTTATTTTCAACCAGAAATCTCCAGCACCTAACTAGCACCTGGCGTAAATACACGTTGGCTGAATTAATTTCAGTTTCTATTTCTGAACCCTAGTATTTTCATCAGTATATTCAGCAAAATTAAAGCACACGGGGCCATGGACTATTTTCTCTAGGCTTATGAGCCCAAACACAATATGTGTATAAGAAGAGGTATTAGAACTCATAACTTTAATGTTCAAATACAAATATGTTCAGTACCTCTTTGTTTCTGGCCATAAAGGAACAGGTCACAAAAGACTTGGGTTTAGGCTGTCTGCTTATCCTGACATAACAAATCCCCTGGTTTAGGGAATCAAGTCCTTATAGAATTCAGCCTCACTGCCTCTAATTCATGGAGGACTTTCTATTAAAGATGAAATTAATAAAGAACCAGCCATGAGAGGAAATAAAATATGAAGTCAAGCTGATCGTCACCTTCTCTATATCTTAAGAAGTTAATGGTTCAAAACCTTTTTTAGGTAGAAGACTCCTGAATATACTACAACCCACTCCCTACCCCGTCTCATGGTAGTAGTGGTAGGCTGCAACTGTGTAACTCAAAGGTGTCTAGGCTGGCAACAACACCAGCACTGCTGACATTTTCCCAATAATTCATTATTTATTTCTATATGTTTTCATTTCTCTTGGGTAGTAAGTACTACCCTAATGTTACCCTAATATTAGGATGCCTGGGTTGTATGATAGGTATATGTTTAATTTTATAAGAAATCGCCAAACTGTTTTCTATATTATTAATCATTTTATTTTGTTAATCTTAACACCACACATGCAGCTTTTCTCCAGCTAGTGGGTGGCCAGAACAAAACAACTTGCAAACAGAGGCAAAGGCATTACTAGGATGATGCGAGAAGAGAATTGGAGATTTTTTTATTTTCTTTGTACTAGGAGTGAGCATAACCAATGCTTTTTGGGAAATATAAGGAGAGTAAAATCTATCTTGTCACCTTCTCTAGGTTGCCTTTGGGTTCAGTATTTATTTTTGGAAAATCTGTCTTTTCATTTTACTATCTTCCTCTGGAGACTCTGGAGTTATTATAGGCACTTATAAACATACTTTTGGATAAATGATTCTTGTGAACTTACAATACTCTTCACTTTCATCTCATTGATTTTTGAGTTCCAACACAATTTTTTTAAAAAAATAAGGATTTCAACATGAGATGGATTTTGAAATGTCAAAGTTATTCTTTCTGTTTTTAGTAGCTCATCTACCCTTGCAGTTGTTTATAATAGTCAGCCACTATTAATATTCCTGGTTTCTCTCTCTAATTTGTTATAAAAAGTATAACTTTAGTACAATAATGAATTACATTTTTATCATGAGAACTCATAACAATATCTTTATATTTAAATCTAAACTTTAATGTGAATTTGTGAGATCTTATTTTTATGCTAATATCTACATTTTATAATGTTCGTGGTATGAATATATATGTTTATTGTAGATACATTTGACTACATTTATATATTCACAGAGATTTATATAGAGGCATGAAAAAACAGGCATAGTCAGTCATGGGTGTTCGTTATATATAAAGGTTACTGGCGATGCAAAGATATAAAAGATAGAAGAACCCAGTAATTGCCTTTAAGATCAGAGCACAAAGCATTAGTTTGGATTTTACAAGGCCAGCCAGCAACAAAAGAGCAGTAATTTATGAGCTCAGCGTAAAAGAATAGCATAATTGCATTAAAAATTAATGCTAATGAACACTAAAATGGGGAAGGTGGTTATGATGAAAGTTTGTATTCATCTTCCCTGGTTTGAATGATGGCTAGTGGCTTGATTAATGGCTTAATTTCTATCAATTAGCGGGGAAAAATCTCCTGCGAGACAAGGGTAAATTGAGCATTGAATTACATATCTTGCTTTTGTGTGCTAAGAAAAAAGAGCTGCGTATCTCTGATATTAGCCACAGTGACAAATGTGGTGTGCCCGCGATGTCTGCATTAGCTCTTCTGAAAGGCGAGTTGTGTGTGGTTATGGGGTGTTTGGAGATGGCTGGCAGACAGCATTCACTGCAAGTTCCTTAGAAACATACAACTCTTCCATCTACAGAATTTTAATTAGAGTCAATAAGGATTCTAGAATTAAAATGGACAGCAAACAGCAACTGCAGAGTCTGTATTCTGACCTATTAATCTGCTATACTTTAAATTATATTCCTTTCTTCTACCCTATTAAAATAAGAAAACTCCCAGTGGCTTTAGTTTGTTGGAATTATATCTTACCACTCTGTTAAAGTGGATTTGACTACCCATGTTTATTACATTTGAAACAAGCATAAAGCAGTAGTCTATGTAGTTGGACTACATAGTGGTTGTTGGTTTAGCCAAATTCACAGGAACCATTGTAGTTTTTTTGTTTGTTTGTTTTAACAATTGCTGCACAGTAAATAAAGAACAACTCTAAAATGACAGTTTCCTACTTGGGTTGTTTCAGGCTTAAGGGAAAAAATGCTAGGTTTTCTAGAAACTTTATTTTTTTATTAATTTATAAAGATTTTTGAAATGTGATGTATATAATTCTTAAAAACTTTAAATGTGAGATTATGAAAATCTGTAATCCAAGACAGTGCCAGAAGAGCAACATATGACATCTCCTCTACAAATAAAGCTACATTGTATTTTTTAGAATGAATAAGCATTAAAATGCAGAATAAGAACACTACCAAGAACATTGATTATTTCTAGTAAATGGATGGGGTGGGGGGCAATAATCTGTTGCTTGACAGGAGTGGGTAAAGAATTCATTTGACTGGGTAGTAATGACTGGATCACATTTCAGGGACTGGATTCCAGCTCTAACACCAACTATCCTATGACCTTAGCCAAGTTACTTATCAGCCTCATCTTTACAGTGAGAGTAATAGTATTATCTCCCATGGTTATTATTGTTAAATGAGGTAATCTGTGTGAAGTGCTTAGCACAGAGTGCCTTAAGTTTCTGTTGTCATTGCTGTTACTACTCCTGCTACCAGAACAGCTCATTGGCCTTTTTAACAACTATTTAAATGAAAGATTAACTTCTATGACCTTCCCCTCAAGAAAGGCATTACAAATATTGATGATCAAAACAAAGATTTCTGTGGACCTACAGACACTAGACTAGAACATTTTTGCTTTAAAACATGGTTTCTAGGGCCGGCCCGGTGGCGCACTGGATAGTGCACCGCTTGGGAAGCGCGGCGGCGCTCCCGCCCGAGGGTTCGGATCCCACATACAGACCGGTTCCTGCTCGCTGGCTGAGCTGGGCGCGGGAGCAACACCGAGGGTTGCGGTCCCGTTGCCGGTCCCGGCCCGGTGCGGGGGCGACACTGAGGGGTGCGATCCGCTGCTGGACACCGAAAAAGACAAAAAAAAAAAAAAACATGGTTTCTAGGGCCGGCCCGGTGGCGCACGGGATAGTGCACCGCTTGGGAAGCGCGGCGGCGCTCCCGCCCGAGGGTTCGGATCCCACATACAGACCGGTTCCTGCTCGCTGGCTGAGCTGGGCGCGGGAGCAACACCGAGGGTTGCGGTCCCGTTGCCGGTCCCGGCCCGGTGCGGGGGCGACACTGAGGGTTGCGATCCGTTGCTGGACACAGAAAAAGACAAAAAAAAAAAAAAACAACATGGTTTCTATCACACAGCTACCATTTTGGGTAGTTCGTGTATGAGACGTCCATTAGGAAGTGACAGAAGCTCCTGTCTCTTGAGTCACACATGTCAGCCAAACACTGCTTCCCCATTCAGCCCACAGCATTCAGTGAGTTGGAGAGGACTCTGGCATCTTGAAGAGTGATCAGATTTAGCTGGGCCTTTTGTGCCTTCTCAGAGATATACACAGGCTTGTCGTCCACTGCTTCCATTCCCTGTCCCCTCTTCCAGTCATTCCCACAATCCTGCCTCCCACAGGTATACCACGAGATGTGTGAGCTGAAGCCGGTTATTTACTACCTGGCTGAACTCAAAAAAAGGTTGCCAACTTTAAACCTTACAGTCAGAAATTTAGGGGTTTACAGATTTTTGGCCAACTTCCATGTCTTTGGTACTATCACTCAATTAGCACTTTAGTACTACTATTATTAACAGCCGTCATTTATTAAGTGCTTTTAGTGCTTCCTTAGCCCTGTGATAAGCACAGGTGTCATCTCCCAGATTTTCATGGCTTGCGGCTTCACATCATTCTTCTCTCTGCTGAAATTATCACCGTTGTCAAGGAGTTCTTCCCTCGTTGCCCCATCTGAAATAGCTCCCCTTCCTCCTTTCTAGCCCTCTAGCCTGCTCTGTTTTCCTTGATATTATATTGTTTATTTACTTATTAACTATTTGTCTTCCCAATTAAAACATAAGCTCCGTGAGGGAAGAAATCGTTATTCATTCCTAAATTCCTACTATGTGGAACAATACATACTATATTGAATGTGCTCAAATATTTGAAAGGAAGAAAAGAGGAAAGAAGAGAGGGAGGGAGTCTCTCAACCATCCTGTGATATTTAGGCTATTGTTATGCCCATGCCACAGATGAGAAAACTGAGACCAACACAGCTTAAACCACTTGCCCAAGGTACACAGCTAGTAAAAGACAGGGTTTAACCCAGACAGTCTGAACCCAGAGCCCTTAAAACTAGCCACTTAATGACATTTAATTTTTTAAGTTACAAAAACTATTTATAATTTGACATTCTCCACCATGAAGTTTTATTTTTTTAATGGTTACTTTAATGCCCATTAATTTTAAGTTATTCAACAAATGTTTATTGACTGCTTCCTAAATAATAGAGCATACTTCACTAAGTTCTGGAGGTAACATAAAAAGGAATGTCCCCTCTAGCTGGGGAGATGAAGCTTTTACTCAAGAAGAAGAGATTAATATCAGTGCAAGGCAGCATATGCCTAGGGCCAAATGAATTATGGAAGAGGCCCCTTTTCTCACAGGTGGCAAGGGAGGGCATCACCAAAAGGTGGGCAATAGGCATGGTCTTAAATGACGGGGCATTGAGAAAAGGTGAGACCATTTCAGGTGAGAGGAGCTAGATGAGGCTTTCAGTGTGGATTTTGTTTTTAATAAACAAAATTAGCCTGATACCCAATTCACTTGCACTTTTTAAAATGTTCAACAGAAATTCTTCATTGTTACAATCATGTTAAAGTTATTCCTGTTAGTTAATCTGATGTGGTAAGGACTTTAATATAAGATGAGTTTGTCTTGGATCCCATCCAAGGGGGGTTGTTACTAGAGACGCTTTAGGAACCTCATTGACATGTATAACTCAGTGCTATAGCATATGCTTCCAGCAGACTAATAGACAAGCCCTATTCCACCTAAGAAGTGTTCTTATCTTTCAAGTCACTTGTGGATATCAGTTCTGGAAATTTGTTCCCAGGGATATTGGTCTTATAAACAACCTTAAAGTGATGGGGTTGGTTGGATTTCTAACGCATGCTTTGTATGCTTTTTTATAACAAAAATTTTGAAAGGGAAAGCAGTGGCTATATTTTGTTAAAATTTGCATTAATAAGAAATTATTTTAATAACTTTAGAATTCCAAGTAAGCTTTAGGAGATGTTTTGTTTGTTTACAAATTTTATTGAATAGCCAATTTACCATACAAGTTTGTTGTTTGCTTTCTTTATTCTTGAAAAGCATTTGAAAATGCTTTAAATTTCAAATGTTTTTTTTTTCCACTATCTACCATGTAGCATAAAAGCAAATTTCATGTATGTTTCCATTCTTGACTATAATTTGAGTCAATTTCTTTTGAAAATAAGATAATCTTTTGTATTATTCATGCATTTATAGCAATACTATTAGTATATAAAAAATTTTTTTTCCTGGAAGAGTAACATAAGTAACTCAATAACTGTGGGGCCAGTTGACCCAAATTCTTTGTAACAAAATGTATTTTAACTTTGGGTAAATTTATAAAATGTTAATATTTAAAAGGAGTCAGTTGAAGATGAGGTTTTTGTTTGTGTCTAAGAGATCTTTCATAAAACTCCGAGTTGCCTTTTATCCCATGATTACATCTTGGGCAATATTGCCATCTGCTGTACTCAGCCTGGCATTGCAATTAGAGGAGATTGGTTTATGTTTGTAATCTACAAATGCAGTACAGACTAAAATTTTGTCTTTTCAAATGAAATGTTTATATATTGGACCTTGTCACCTTTATTTACAAACCTTATAATTTGTATATAATTTGATCACATTTTAAAAGAAAACTCTATAAATGTCATGACATGTGAAATTGTCAAATATAACTTGAAGTAGCAGGAGAGCCTAATTTTTATACTATAACATCAACAGTAACTAATAAAATATTTGATTTAGATTTTTCATCACAAAAGGAACAAATGATTTTCTATACAGTGAATTATTGGTTTGTGTGGTCTGTAGTGAATTGGCTTTCTAATTCCTTTTTTTTTTTTTTTTTTTTTTTCTATGAAATTT